AGCATAATTACCTGCAACATGGCTATCAGTCGCGAACTCTACTCCACCTGTATAAAGTGCAATCCGCAAGTTGTTTCATATAACTGACATCGGTGGCCACGTCAAACGTGTCGTTTCGCCTCCGTGTCTTCGTTAAAGTTGGACCATTGCATTATCATCAAAACACGTCAAAACACGTCAAAACACATCAAAACGTAAGGAAACACAAGCAAGCACGTCAGGTTGTATTTGAAGTCGACCTGTCAAGTACATTATCGTGACATCCTCCCCTCCTTCCCCTGCCCACCTCCACTGTGTCCAACCGCTCTTCATGTTTACACTGTACTACACGTATTCAAGTGAACTATCATATGTCGGTATTGTCGTGTATATGTGTGCGTCACATGTCCGGTACCATTAATAGCTGATTGTTGTGTTTTCAAAGACTGAGGTTAGTTAGCACCTTTCAGGGTCAGAGTTCACGCCTGCCCAGGTCTGCTGTGCTTAGGCCATGAATGTGGACCATCATCAACGCTCTATATTAGCGCTCTATTTTAAAACGTTTTTCTTAACTCAGCTTCGCGTTTGTTTGTTTGTTTGGTTGTTTGGATGTTTGTTGTTAAAATTGACATCGAAAATTAGCCCACTTCTGATTGCTCTAGAGACCTGAAATTTGGCATGCATGCTACTTTCGCCTAACAATTTCAGATGCAATCATAAAAACTAGCAATTAGTGACCGTAATTAGCTTAATTTAATTACGCCCCAAGGACCATAAAATTGAGGACATGATTTCTAAAGATACCGACAAGACTTGAGGCCTATTGACACAGTTACTTCGGCCCCAATCGATGTGAGCGCGCTGGCCGTGATCGTATAGTGGTTAGTACTTCGCGTTGTGGCCGCGACAAATCAGGTTCGAATCCTGGTCGCTCAAGATTTTTAGTCCGTGTATTTATAAACACTTTTTTAAAAACCACGTTTTTCATGTGTAGCAACGGACTAAAAGGAGAAAATAAAATACTTAAAAAAAACTTTTAAAAAAACCACGTTTTTTATGTGTAGCAACGGACTAAAAAGGAGAACGGACACGGTAACACATTGTTAACGGTGACACGGTTGGTACGCTGGGCATGCTAAAATACACATAAACACGTTTTTCCTTAACTCAGCTTCGCGTTTATTTGTTTGTTTATGGGAGATTTGATCACGTGATTCGTGAGTAGATCTCCAGGCCAGCAACGTAAATTACACCCTTTCTCTGTTTAAAGCGTATCGGTCGCTCAAGATTTTTTTAGTCCGTGTATTTAAAAACACTTAGTCAAGTCATACTTAATCAAGTGATTAGATAAAGTAGAAAATAAACTATATAAAAAACTTTTTAAAAACCACGTTTTTCATGTGTAGCAACGGACTAAAAAGGAGAAAATAAAATACTTAAAAAAAACTTTTTAAAAAACCACGTTTTTCTTGTGGACTAAAAAGTAGAAAATAACTATTTACATACATTTGATGACAAAAAACGTGGGTCGGGCAGATGGGTCGGGAAATTTGATGGTGAACGTACCCACGTTTTTTGTCATCAAATGTATGTAAATAGTTATTTTCTACTTTTTAGTCCACAAGAAAAACGTGGTTTTTTAAAAAGTTTTTTTTAAGTATTTTATTTTCTCCTTTTTAGTCCGTTGCTACACATGAAAAACGTGGTTTTTAAAAAGTTTTTTATATAGTTTTTTTAAAACGTTTTTCTTAACTCAGCTTCGCGTTTGTTTGGTTGTTTGGTTGTTTGGATGTTTGTTGTTAAAATTGACATCGAAAATTAGCCCATTTCTGATTGCTCTAGAGACCTGAAATTTGGCATGCATGCTACTTTCGCCTAACAATTTCAGATGCAATCATAAAAACTAGCAATTAGTGACCGTAATTAGCTTAATTTAATTACGCCCCAAGGACCATAAAATTGAGGACATGATTTCTAAAGATACCGACAAGACTGGGGGCCTATTGGCACAGTTACTTCGGCCCCAATCGATGTGAGCGCGCTGGCCGTGATCGTATAGTGGTTAGTACTTCGCGTTGTGGCCGCGACAACCCAGGTTCGAATCCTGGTCGCTCAAGATTTTTAGTCCGTGTATTTATAAACACTTTTTTAAAAAACCACGTTTTTCATGTGTAGCAACGGACTAAAAAGGAGAAAATAAAATACTTAAAAAAAACGTTTTAAAAAACCACGTTTTTTTTGTGTAGCAACGGACTAAAAAGGAGAACGGACACGGTAACACACGGTTGGTACGCTGGGCATGCTAAAATACACATAAATACGTTTTTCCTTAACTCAGCTTCGCGTTTATTTGTTTGTTTATGGGAGATTTGATCACGTGATTCGTGAGTAGATCTCCACGCCAGCAACGTAAATTACACCCTTTCTCTGTTTAAAGCGTATCGGTCGCTCAAGATTTTTTTAGTCCGTGTATTTAAAAACACTTAGTCAAGTCATACTTAATCAAGTGATTAGATAAAGTAGAAAATAAACTATATTAAAAACTTTTTAAAAACCACGTTTTTCATGTGTAGCAACGGACTAAAAAGGAGAAAATAAAATACGTAAAAAAAACTTTAAAAAAAAACACGTTTTTCTTGTGGACTAAAAAGTAGAAAATAACTATTTACATACATTTGATGACAAAAAACGTGGGTCGGGCAGATGGGTCGGGAAATTTGATGGTGAACGTACCCACGTTTTTTGTCATCAAATGTATGTAAATAGTTATTTTCTACTTTTTAGTCCACAAGAAAAACGTGTTTTTTTTTTAAGTTTTTTTTAAGTATTTTATGTAGAGCTAAATGGTCGTAGTGTAGCGATTCAGTGCCGTGTTGAGTGGTGGGTTCGGATCCCGTCTGGCTAAAACGACTCTAGTCCTTTCCCCACCGTGGCAGCAGACGTAGGTATCACGTGATTTAGGTCACGTGTTTGCAAGGAGTCTACATTTGGCGTTGTAATAATAATAACGAAGTGTCTACTCGGAAGAAGATTTTTCTCCCCAAGGTCTCCACTTAGTCGGCAAAAGATAGCTCTGCGCATGTGCAGTGACCTATGGCTAGGGTTAGGGCTAGAATGAGGGTTAGGGGTAGGGATAGGGTTAGGGATAGGATTAGGGATAGGATTAGGGATAGGATTAGGGCTAGTGTTAGGGATAGGATTAGGGTTAGGGATAGGGTTAAGGATAGGATTAGGGTTGGTGTTAGGGTTCTGCGGTTGTAAACACACGCATGCGCAGTACCATCGAAAACATCGCCGCTAAGGCAAGTCGTAGTTTCTCACCATTGCGCATGCGTATCTCATGCGTATCTTATTCCGGCTAGAATCGGCCTAATAATAATTATCTGTCTATCTATATGGCCTTTTGCTATTATGTGGGACGGCGTGGCCGAGCGGTAGAGCGTTAGACTGCTAACCTTAGAGTCTCAAGTTTGAATTCGTGTTTAAGTCAGTAGACAGTCCTTGAGTCCATCCAGCTTTGTTGGGTATCTAACTCACGTTAGGGAAAGTAAAGTCGGCTAACCACTTTATCTCTATACGCCGAGGTAACAGGAACAGGTGAACTCTACTTCATTTGCCCTACAGTGGTTTGAAAGGTTTGCTGTTTCACTAACAATGTATCCAACTTCTCTTTATGTTTTTTCTCATCTGCGTGCGCATTGTTCTTACGTCCCTCGCGTGAGCACTAACACATTATTAGCTAGAAGACACTAAGGCTGTAGCAGTTCCCTCCCTTGCTAATCGATTCTATATTAACACAGCAATTTAGCCAGGGGAGGAGGGGGGATTACGGGCGGGGTGGTGGGGTGATATGAAAGATGTAGGACAACAGCTTGTGACAGGTCGCTGTGACCCGCGTTGATTTGACCTTCGATAACAATCACACACGGACGTATAGCGGGAGTTTGCGAGCGTGCCTTGGGTTATCGTTGCATCGGTTTCCGTTCTTGTATGTGACCAATTGTCGATGTTGTTATGTTGGTTTATCTTCCTTAGGTTTTACAAGCTAGTCTAGTGATTTTCGATGTGATTGTTTTTTGAAATTTGCCTGGAAATGTTTCTTGTTGACTGGAGGTATAAATGATTATCATTGACAATGCAGGTATGGGTGAATGTTTGTCTCAAAATATGTACCTTTGTCAGTCAGTTTGGGTAGTTAACTGTCTTTCTATCCGAGTGCCTTTATGTCTGTATATGTTTGTCGTTTGTCCGTTTTTCCCTCTATCCAACTACCCTACCCTACCTTACACTACCTTACCCTACCCTACCCTACCCCACCCCCTTCCCTCCACTCTATTCCACTCTACTCCACTCCACCCACCTCACCCCACCCCACTCCACTATACTCTACTATACTCTACTCTCCGCTCTGCTTTGCTGTTGTTGTTTTTTTTACCTCTATGTAATGTCTACTCTGTCTGTTCTACATATTCTTTCAGTCTGTCCGTCTGTCCATCAACCCACATGTATGTCTCATATAAAATAATTCCTTTCATATCCATTTAAGTTTTTCTCATGCGACCTGACTTGTCCCACATAAGAAAAACACATCAAACAGATTGAGCCATGCTGTATGTAATAAATGCTTTCCAACCTGGATTTTGAACCCCTTGAACTCTGAAATCAATAACAGATAACGGCGTTTTCGTTCATGATTCGTGCATACAACACACCCATCTAAAAAAAAACGTAATAGTGATAATGTTAAAATTTTCACCGCACCGGCTGAAGAGGACATAAGTTTCACCAGCGACCACGCACGAGGTTCACGCATCACCTCTCCGCCACAGGTCTTGTCAGGGGAAACAAATCCGTTCGAGGGTCTTTCCTGTCACTCGTTCTCTCAAGCTGGGGACGGCGGTGGCCTGGAGTTGTCTCCCATCATGTGGTGTAGTTCGCGCTATTTTCGTGTGTTCGGTGTGTAAATTCGGACAGTGATTTTCTTTATAATAGATCTATACATTTTTTTTTAAATTAATATTTTTAAGCGGATTTTTCTTTATACTATGGATTTATTGTCAGCAAAGTTCAAAGGTCGGTAATGTGACGTAATAAACAAAACGAAACAAGAAGTCTAAGATGAATCCTATGATATTGTGATATTAGCCTACTTGAAGTATAATTCTAAGTTAAAAAAAAATAATATGAATATATATATGTATATATATATATATATATATATATATATATATATATATATATATATATATATATATATATATATATATATATATATATATATATATATACATATAGGCCTACATATATATATATATATATATATATATATATATATATATATATATATATATATATATATATATATATATATATATTTATTTATTTATTTATTTATTTATTTATTTATTTATTTATTTATTTATTTATTTATTTATTTATTTATTTATTTATTTATTTATTTATTTATTTATTTATTTATTTATTTATTTATTTATTTATTTATTTATTTATTTATTTATTTATTTATTATTTATCGATGCGTGTACCCTATTAGTTTAATTAACATGTAATAGTTAAGTTACATTTATTTATATATATATATATATATATATATATATATAACCATTTTATTATTGATTCTGACGAAGACCAATGTTCGAAACGTTAATCGATTTGTATTTCCCCATAAGTTTGTGATGTGATATAGTAAATCTGTTAGCCTTTACATTGACGAGATCGGGACGTTATGTTTTAAGTCAACACTAGATAGCTTATAATGTCCAACATTGTGGGAGTTTTTTCCTGCGCTTCTGAGGTATATTTCTGAATCTAGATCTATAAAGCTAATTAAATAAAGCTAATTTAGTGCTTCGTGTGGGGAGACACGTCTCTTTCCGAAGTGTTGATTCTATTAGAATGTAGGCTAATTTTTCGTTATGGGTGACTGGCAATCAACATACCAAGTATACCCATACCCATCAATAAAATCAGGTTTTTATTTAAGTTTTGGTTAGGGTTTACTCTTTCCATCGAGCTTAAGGCACAAAGGGAGATAACAAAGTGTGCCCGTACACAAAAACTAAATCACTACGTGAAACCAAACAACTAAATCAATACGTAATTAAGATAATTATAGTGTCCCATGTCGTGATTGCAGTGATTATAAAGCTATTAGGCATTCGGAAATAAAACCATTAGTCTTTAACTAGGCATTCGGGAATAGAACTATTAGACTTAATAATTCAGGCATGCGGAAATAAAACTATCAGCGTTTTACCAGACATCCGGAAATAAAACTATTACTGCCTTTAGCCTGACATCGCTGTACAAAGCGCATTAACTCTTTGGGCAAGGGTTACCGGAAATACGTCACTCGCGTGTATGTTAATTAGCGATTGCTCAGGCGATGAAAGAAACAGAGATTGATTAAATCTACGCAGATATAAATGATGGAGGCATTCTTTCTTGATAGATATTTTCTTTTCTACACAAAACAGTCGCACACACACACACATAAACACACACACATACACATATATAATCTGTAGAACTATGACTACTTGAATACTGACCTGTAGCATTGTGGAGAGTGTGGTAGAGTGGTATAGCGTTTAGGAATGTGTTAAGTCTGATTTGAACTATGTATCCCGCTACCATGGTTAGGAACAATGGCGAAGATGACATAAGGCAAAGAGTGTGCGGTCTGCATTTAATACTGAAATTACATAAACTCTACTGGCACTATACCAATCACGCATAATGTAGAAATGGTTATTACTTTAGCGATTTTAACCTATTTGAACCTGACAAAGAGAGTAGAATATACCTGATTATATGGCTAGCAATGATAGCATTGTAAATATGTATGTACTAATATTTTAGTATGGCTTTATAAAAACCTTCTTGGTTATAATAATAAGATTATAACGGTTCCCAGAAATATGAACAATACGCATATTTTGTGGTAAAATGTTTTATTATGCTAACGTTTTTAAGTTTCGTGTGCAATTTGTTTTGGGCGGGGGTAGGGGGGGGGGATCCGGCTATTGCATGTTAGGTAGCTGGAATAACTAGCAACACGATGATGTGATATGTATACTATGTGTAATATGTGTGTGCTTCCGTAATCTGAAGCAGCACTCGTTACTTGCTATGAGATAACAGGCTTATTCACAGATACTATCCATTCGTCTTGTCATTTTTTTTGACACACTAGTTTTTTGACACTTTTTCTTGACACGTTTTGTCGCCACTCGATCAACAGGCATGTCACTGATAACAGATTACGTTGCCCCCCCCCCCCCCCCCTACACACACACCGAACATACCCACACCACCCTCAAACATACTCACACACTATTGACAATATAAAAGAAATAAAAACGATACCGTTCTTATAACTTATAGAGAAATGCCACATCTTCTTCTTGTGTTTGATTAGTGGGTTAATGTATTAACAACCTGATGTAAAACGAAAAACATTAAATTCTACCCCCCCCCCCCACCCACCCCGTAAAACACGTCCAAGTCACTTCACTCAACATTGTTCTCACAATTGTCTTTGTTCTTACGCGGTAACAAAACAAATGCTTCGTCACACTAACGACATGTATTAATACACACCACACCTACCCCCCTTTGGTTTAATGTCTTCACTGGGCCTTGTGAAGCATGCCTCACCCCTCCCCTTACCTATCCCCAGACGTAGGTCAACCACCTATCCCATCAGATTATTTAAAAAATCAAGGTATAAATCTAAACTTTAACACTATTAAAACTCCTTACAGACTATTCGCCTCCAGGTGTTTCGCTTTAAAAACCCACACTTAACATAAACCCTCTGACAGGGCGTTTATCCCTGGGGGTCAAAGGTCGTGACGGCTTCATCCTTTTATCTCAGCGGGACGTCCAGGTTAAGATCGAACTGATTAATTCATTAATTATTGATTGATCCGGGTTAAGCAGCCGCTGATGAACATATGTCTTTGTGCGATTGGGACGCGGGCAGACGCTGTTCATCTGCAAACATGTCTTGGAGAAACTAGCGTGGGATGTTTATCGTTGAAGAGCTATGCTCGTCTGGTCTGCACAGTGGCGGATCCAAGGGTTTGTTTGGTGGGGGTGGGGGGGGGGGGGTATTGTAGGATTTCTAAATATGCAAAATAAAATATGATTTGCCGGAAATGTTTTTTTTTTTAACTCTTTAAATTTTTTTTTTAGAACCGATATGGGGTTTGTGAAGCCACCAAGAGCTCGTCTTAGTGTTTCTTTCAGATATTTTTCTCGGGGGGGGGGGGGTGGAAACTGGTAAAAAAATATACGTAGACGTTGTAGGAGTTCTTCGGGGGGGGGGGACATACTGGTACTGCTACGGTAAGGATTTCAAAATATACAAAACAAAATATAATTTGCCAGAAATGATTTTTTTTTAACTCTTTGAATTCTTTTAGAGCCGATCCGAGGATTGTGAGGACACCATGAGCTCGCCCCAGTGTTTCTTTCAGGCATTTTTCTCCTGGGGTAGGGGGTAGGGACTCTATAAATTTTCGGGGGACGGACTAAATTCGGACTAAATTTAATTTTAAGTGTGGGGGGGAGGGGGTGGATACTGGTAAAAGTATACGTAGACGTTGTAGGCGTTCTTCTGGGGGTGGGGGGGGGGGCTGAAAGAAACTCTGCTCGCCCATGATTCCATAACCTCCTCATGTAAGTGCTTCTTCCAGCTGAGGTGGCTGTCTATTTATTTTCCTGTTCTTCCCTGACGTTCGCTGAACACTTGGCCCTAATTTCGTCTTCTGATCTCTGCTAATATGCAAGCAAACAGCCGCTTGGTTATTTTAAAGGTTATGTTTAAGTTTCTTGACATGCCCATTTAAATCCATACATTCCCCCTCCCTCCTACACACACTCTATCTCACACATACACACACGCACACACACGCACATACACACACATACACACACACGCACGCACACACGCTAAGCTGCCAACCTAACGCACACAAATATTTGTTGTAAATAATTCTATACTTCGTTACAATGTGAGTCTCGGGTTTGTTCTTAATAATAGTATCTAGTCTAATAAAGGACAGGTGCAGCAGAGTTGGCTTGTTTTAGTGGCCGTTCACGTGAGTAATACAGCACGATTTATTTATTGGACAAACCTTGATTATATTAACCGTAGCCTACATCATTAGCTCAGCTATGAAGTGTAGAATTTGAAATCAGTTATCTTTAAAAAAGTTATTGATTTCTTTGAGAATGTAGGTCTGAATTTTTTTTTCATAAAGCAATATTTATTTTTAAAGATTGTAAAAAATAGGAACTCATAAACAAAAAAAAAATAGAGCCGATTATGTAGCAATTTTTATTTTCAATGTTGTATCGATTTTGAAGATAGTAAACTTCTGACACGTGCGTTCTTGTTATGATGTGTCAATACACGGTCTTCAAGGTTGGTCATGTGACTTGAGCCAGAAAAACTCTCCAGACAGCTCGTGTTGTTCTGTCCTGGTGTACCACGTAATGGAATGGTGGGTGGGGATGGAGGGGGAGGGGGACTCAGACATCTTTCTTCTACGTTATCGATTCTCGAAACGCGCCGAATCAGGACTGATTGCCCCCCCCCCCCCCCTCCTTTTACGTCCCTGAGAGGCGTCACACATATCGTCTGGCGATGGTGGTAGACTGACGTCACGCTTCTGGGTTGATTAAGGCAACTGGGGGTGACGTCATTGATATTGGCAAGTAAACGGACTTCGGAGATGGCCTCTTTTTATATTGCCTGGCAACAGAACCTGGTGCCGATGTGTCGACCCATAGACAAACACCGAAAACTGTAATGGGATTTTTGTTTGGGTTTTTTTTTTAATTTTTGAAAATTTTCGATTTGTGTGGCCTACCTATATCGCATAGATCGAATTCGCATTTAATTTATGTTCATTGTATAACTATTTTGGTAGATTCGTGGAAATGGAGTAATTGTCCTACCATAGTTATCCCTCAAATTATGTTACTTTGTATAACTATGTTGGTAGATTCGTGGAAAGGTGGATGTTGTCAAACCATAGTTC